TTACCCAGGATCGAGGTAAGACTAACTGGCCTATAGTTATAGACTAACTGGCTCATGGATAGTCTGGGCACTGCCCATCCAGCATGCTAGGCAAAAAGGTTGAGCACCACTGATCTAACTTGTTTCTTTATAAAGTATTCTCAGATGCAGTGCAAGTGAAAGATGCTGTATAATACGACTTTACCTCTATGTATTAACATGTATAGATTCTAGTACTGGCATATGAATTGTAAGGTTCAGTTGTCTGACTGCAGAATTTACTATCTATCTTCGGCATGATGAACTCTGCATATTACTCCCCAGACTGCAGGTTATAGCTGATAGACTGATGGAGCACTTTGTGAGCTCTGGACTGATGATCAAAGAATGGGATAGGTTTGTTGAAGTGTGGGCCCAGGATCTAAATTACATAAAATATTTGTAGAGTCCTTGAGAACAAATAGTATTTTTCGTGTTTTCTTCCTCTCTACCCTCAGTACTTCCAATGAGACTTTCAGGGACAAATTGCAGAAATGTAAACCATTTGCAAGTACAGATGTGTGCTTTTGACATACTGGGTCCATCTACAGGTGCAATTAATGTGCCTGAATTTTCTGCACAGGAAATTCAGGTACATTAACCTGTGCCCCTGCATGCATCTCAGTGTGCACCTGTTAGGAGCAGTTCAGTCTGTGACTGCTCCTGCCCTGCTCTGCCCCTTTGCAGCAGCCAGGGGGAGCTGCAGGCTCCCCCCAGGTGCCAGTCCTGGACTGGCAGGGGGCATGGAGGCTGGTCCAATTTCTGCAAGGCAGGGGAGAGCTGCCGCAGTTACTAGGACAGCTCTCCCAGCCATGTGAAGATTGGGATTTGTTCTGATCTCCACATGGCTGGCAGGCAGTGTCCTGCTGAGCCGGGAGAGCTCTTCCCACCCCTGGTGGCTCCTTGCTGCCTACGCTGACTGGGAGCAATTTGTTTCCGGTCAGTGTCTATATGTGCGCTTTGGTGCATTAGTTAAATGTGCCAATGTCTCGTATCTGTATCTACAGGTACTAGAAAATGGTGCATTACACTAATCTACTGCCCAATAATTGCTGCACACATGTAGACAATGACATTTTACTACAAATTAGATTAGTCTAATGTGTAGTAAAGTGTCTCGTGTAGATCTACCCGCTGTGTCATGTAAAAATGCAGAGTTGCCCGAACAATCACAGGTTGCCCCTGAACAATCTAGAGGTCTCAGGTTGAAAATGAATGGAAATGTATGAAAATTTTGCTCTTTGCACCCAAGTTCCTGAACTGTGAAATCAAGATAATACCACCTATCCTCAGTGTCCAGATTGGAGAATACATGCATTTATCTTTATGAAGCATTCAGAAACAGTGGGAAGAGCATCCAAGAAATGGCTAGAAAGAAATAATTGTGTGTGCAATGCAAGGTGTGGAGGCTTTATGTTAAATGAAGCCTGCATGTTCAATGTTGAGATGGAAAAAGAAATATACAATGACTAGCCATTCACTGAATGAGGTAGGGTGTCTTGTGGAACAAATAAGGGGAAGGGGAAGAACCAGATTTAG